GGCCCAGGACGCCATCTTGATGGTCCAGGACGCCAACAAGATGGCTAGGACGCCAACAAGATGGCCAGGACGCCAACAAGATGACTAGGACGCCAACAAGATGGCCAGGACACCATTATGATGGTCCAGGACGCCATCATGATGGTCCAGGACGCCATCATGATGGTCCAGGACACCATCATGATGGTCCAGAACACAATCATGATGGCCCAGGACGCCATCTTGATGGTCCAGGACGCCACCAAGATGGCGAGGACGCCAACAAGATGGCTAGGACGCCAACAAGATGGCCAGGACTCCAACAAGATGGCCAGGACGCCAACAAGATGGCCAGGACGCCAACAAGATGGCCAGGACGCCAACAAGATGGCCCAGGACGCCAGGACGCCAACAAGATGGCCAGGACGCCAACAAGATGGCCAGGACGCCAACAAGATTGCCAGGACGCCAACAAGATGGCCAGGACGCCAACAAGATGGCCAGGAAGCCAACAAGATGGCCCAGGACGCCAACAAGATGGCCAGGACGCCAACAAGATGGCCAGGACGCCATCATGATGGTCCAGGACGCCAACAAGGTGGCCAGGACGCCAAAAAGATGGCCAGGACGCCAACAAGATGGCCAGGACGCCAGCAAGATGGCCAGGACGCCAACAAGATGGTCCAGGACGCCAACAAGATGGCCCAGGACGCCAACAAGATTGCCAGGACGCCATCATGATGGTCCAGGACGCCATCATGATGGCCCAGGACGCCATCAGGATGGTCCAGGACGCCAACAAGATGGCCAGGACGCCAACAAGATGGCCAGGATGCCAACAAGATGGCCAGGACCCCAACAAGATGGCCAGGACGCCAACAAGATGGCCAGGACGCCAACAAGATGGCCAGGACGCCAACAAGATGGCCAGGATGCCAATAAGATGGCCTGGACGCCAACAAGATAACCAGGACGCCAACAAGATAGCCAGGACGCCAACAAGATGGCCAGGACGCCAACAAGATGGCCAGGACGCCAACAAGATGGCCAGGACGCCAAAAAGATGGCCAGGACGCCAACAACATGGCCAGGACGCCAACAAGATGGCCAGGAGGCCAACAAGATGGCCAGGACGCCAACAAGATGGCCAGGACGCCAACAAGATGGCCAGGACGCCAACAAGATGGCCAGGACGCCAACAAGATGGCCAGGACGCCAACAAGATGGCCAGGACGCCAACAAGATGGCCAGGACGCCAACAAAATGGCCAGGACGCCAACAAGATGGCCAGGACGCCAACAAGATGGCCAGGACGCCAACAAGATGGCCAGGACGCCAACAAGATGGCCAGGACGCCAACAAAATGGCCAGGACGCCAACAAGATGGCCAGGACGCCAACAAGATGGCCAGGACGCCAACAAGATGGCAAGGACGCCAACAAGATGGCCAGGACGCCAACAAGATGGCCAAGACGCCATCATGATGGCCAGGACGCCAACAAGATGGCCAGGACGCCAACAAGATGGCCAGGACGCCAACAAGATGGCCAGGACGCCAACAAGATGGCCAGGACGCCAACAAGATGGCCAGGACGCCAACAAGATGGCCAGGACGCCAACAAGATGGCCAGGACGCCAACAAAATGGCCAGGACACCAACAAGATGGCCAGGACGCCAACAAGATGGCCAGGACGCCAACAAGATGGCCAGGACGCCAACAAGATGGCCAGGACGCCAACAAAATGGCCAGGACGCCAACAAGATGGCCAGGACGCCAACAAGATGGCCAGGACGCCAACAAGATGGCCAGGACGCCAACAAGATGGCCAGGACGCCAACAAGATGGCCAGGACGCCAACAAGATGGCCAGGACGCCAACAAGATGGCCAGGACGCCAACAAGATGGCCAGGACGCCAACAAGATGGCCAGGACGCCAACAAGATGGCCAGGACGCCAACAAGATGGCCAGGACGCCAACAAGATGGCCAGGACGCCAACAAGATGGCCAAGACGCCATCATGATGGCCAGGACGCCAACAAGATGGCCAGGACGCCAACAAGATGGCCAGGACGCCAACAAGATGGCCAGGACGCCAACAAGATGGCCAGGACGCCAACAAGATGGCCAGGACGCCAACAAGATGGCCAGGACGCCAACAAGATGGCCAGGACGCCAACAAGATGGCCAGGACGCCAACAAGATGGCCAGGACGCCAACAAGATGGCCAGGACGCCAACAAAATGGCCAGGACGCCAACAAGATGGCCAGGACGCCAACAAGATGGCCAGGACGCCAACAAGATGGCCAGGACGCCAACAAGATGGCCAGGACGCCAACAAGATGGCCAGGACGCCAACAAGATGGCCAGGACGCCAACAAGATGGCCAGGACGCCAACAAGATGGCCAGGACGCCAACAAAATGGCCAGGACGCCAACAAGATGGCCAGGACGCCAACAAGATGGCCAGGACGCCAACAAGATGGCCAGGACGCCAACAAGATGGCCAGGACGCCAACAAGATGGCCAAGACGCCATCATGATGGCCAGGACGCCAACAAGATGGCCAGGACGCCAACAAGATGGCCAGGACGCCAACAAGATGGCCAGGACGCCAACAAGATGGCCAGGACGCCAACAAGATGGCCAGGACGCCAACAAGATGGCCAGGACGCCAACAAGATGGCCAGGACGCCAACAAGATGGCCAGGACGCCATCATGATGGCCCAAGACTCCACCAAGATCTTCATATGATGTGTTGTAACTCATCAAAGGATGTTACTACGGTACTCCACATAGAGCGTGCAGTATGTAGCTTGATGGTGTGTTGTTTACATGTGGGGGACGTTGATAGCTGTGAGCCCCAAACACAGCGTCTCCTCCTCCTCCGAGGAGCTTAACTTGACATGTGACGTAAGGGCCTAAATCTTAAGCTCCTCCCCCCCCACCCCCCCCAACCCCCCCCCCCACCCCCTGTAGTGGTAATGGGACCTAAACAAACAAAACAGTCGTTCACATACGGGGTTTTTCCTCCCTTTCCGTGTTATATGATTCTCATTTGTTTTTGTCTGTTTCTTCATACATTTGTGTCTCATTACACCACCTGTCGAACCCTGGGTTGATGTGCCTCCCGCCTAGCCATTAAGACTACCTGTGGAGGGTCGGGATAGGGTTATGGGGACGGGACGGGAGGAAAGGAATGGTGCCTAACCACTTGTGGATGGTCGGGGATTGAACGCCGACCTGCATGAAGCGAGCCCGTCGCTCTACCGCCCAGCCCATGTTGGGGAAGGCGGTGAAGGCAAGGGATTATCATGATGGCGTCCTGGACCATCATGATGGCGTCCTGGACCATCATGATGGCGTCCTGGACCATCATGATGGTCCTGGACCATCATGATGGCGTCCTGGACCATCATGATGGCGTCCTGGACCATCATGATGGCGTCCTGGACCATCATGATGGCGTCCTGGACCATCATGATGGCGTCCTGGACCATCATGATGGCGTCCTGGACCATCATGATGGCGTCCTGGACCATCATGATGGCGTCCTGGACCATCATGATGGCGTCCTGGACCATCATGATGGTCCTGGACCATCAGATAATTTACCTCGCCAGCACCACCATGGCAGAGCGACGGTCTCGCTTCATGCAGGTCGGCGTTCAATCCCCGACCGTCCAAGGGGTTGGGCACCATTCCTTCCCCCACCGTCCCATCCCAAATCCTTACCCAGATCCCTTCCCAGTGCCACAGTGTCGTAAGGGCTTGCGCGCGCACATCAACTCGGGAGAGGTGCGTAATAACACACTTGTAACAAGCCCGAGAATAATGTAGAAACACAACCAACATGAGAATCACACATTAAGAAAAAGGGGAATAAAAATAAAAATAAAATAAAATCTTCAACCCCCCCCCCCCCCTCTCTCCTCCTTTCCGTGTGGTCGTGTGGGAAAGCGTCAATGGTAGTTCAGTGGCCTATCAAAATTTTAATTTTTTCCACGGCCGTATTAATGTTTTGTTGGGGACCTTCTATGGTGATCTCGTTTTTAAGATCGCCCTTATCAGGCACGTGGAGTTTTACCTTACACTACCTTTCAATAAGTTTTAAAAACCGTTATTTGCGACCAATTAGTTTTGTCCGGTCTTCAACGGGGAAATATATGGACTGGATAACGTTGTCCAGTCCGGATTCATCGCCGAGGGGAGTGTCAAAGGTTCCAGACTCTGGGTTTTCTTCGGAGGCATAGTTGGTTAGCAACTTTATCCTTTCCAAAGTTTTTTCTACGTTGGGAAGTGAGCCCTCTACGGTGACGTCTCCGTCTAGTTACTCCTTGGGTGGGACCATAATCACAACGTTGAATTCCATCTATAATTTTCGATGAATTCCCCCTTTCTTCCCCACTACTTACGACCGTTTAGAGGCGGGGATGGGAATACACCTTACTACATTGCTGTGGTCTGTGTCCTCGATGACGGGGTCGCCGCCCTGGGTGTCCTCAGACATCAGGTCGCCGCCCTGGGTGTCCTCAGACATCAGGTCGCCACCCTGGGTGTCCTCAGACATCAGGTCGTCGCCCTGGGTGTCCTCAGACATCAGGTCGCCACCCTGGGTGTCCTCAGACATCAGGTCGCCACCCTGGGTGTCCTCAGACATCAGGTCGCCACCCTGGGTGTCCTCAGACATCAGGTCGCCACCCTGGGTGTCCTCAGACATCAGGTCGCCACCCTGGGTGTCCTCAGACATCAGGTCGCCACCCTGGGTGTCCTCAGACATCAGGTCGCCGCCCAGGGTGTCCTCAGACATCAGGTCGCCACCCTGGGTGTCCTCAGACATCAGGTCGTCGCCCTGGGTGTCCTCAGACATCAGGTCGCCGCCCTGGGTGTCCTCAGACATCAGGTCGCCGCCCTGGGTGTCCTCAGACATCAGGTCGCCGCCCTGGGTGTCCTCAGACATCAGGTCGCCGCCCTGGGTGTCCTCAGACATCAGGTCGCCGCCCTGGGTGTCCTCAGACATCAGGTCGCCGCCCTGGTGTCCTCAGACATCAGGTCGCCACCCTGGGTGTCCTCAGACATCAGGTCGCCGCCCTGGGTGTCCTCAGACATCAGGTCGCCACCCTGGGTGTCCTCAGACGTCAGGTCGCTGCCCAGGGTGTCCTCAGACATCAGGTCGCCGCCCTGGATGTCCTCCTCAGACATCAGGGTGCCGCCCTGGGTGTCCTCAGACATCAGGTCGCTGCCCAGGGTGTCCTCAGACATCAGGTCGCCGCCCTGGATGTCCTCCTCAGACATCAGGGTGCCGCCCTGGGTGTCCTCAGACATCAGGTCGCTGCCCAGGGTGTCCTCAGACATCAGGTCGCCGCCCTGGATGTCCTCCTCAGACATCAGGTCGCCGCCCTGGATGTCCTCCTCAGACATCAGGTCGCCGCCCCGGGTCTCGCCCTCGATCAGGGTAAGCATCTAGACTTGGTCATGGCTCTAGTCCACGTTTCTGAACTTAGTGAATTTCAATAAGCTCCAGAAACACAAGCCAATGAGAGCCAAACTGACCCCAACACCACAGAGCAGCCAAGGAGAAGTTTCTCCTATTAACTGCGAAAACAACACAAGGTAATCCCTTATCGAAATCATTTTTCTCCAAGCCAAGTTAGATTTTATCGTCAATGAATTCAGTAAAATAAGTAACTTAATTAAGAAAATATTTTATTTACAATATATAGCAACGTTGGAATCATTCGTTAAAAAAGTGGAGGTTTTGTGTCTCACTGCAGTAATCAGGGATTACTAATTACTTAACCTTATCTAGTAGGACGATGTTTGGCCCGAGGAAGACTGTACGTCAAAATACGACCTGCTATTAAGAAGTCGGGTTATTGGACTTGTAACCCGTGGTTACAGTGTGGTTAATATACAATTTCAAAACCACATACTCTATATGAGGGGTCACTATAGGAGCCGAATCGCCTTAAAGAGGTGCAATGGGGCCGACCCCCCAGTCCATCTACTTGAATTCCCCCCTCCACCTCCACCCACCCTAAACACTTACAAATGGTTAACAAACACACGTTAATACTCTCTTATGAACGCACATTATTTGTACAAATTATTGTTGGTGTTTTAAAGTTTCTGAAACAAGTTAACAGGAACTGTGTCTGGTCCCAACAATATTCTGTATTGATTAGTGGCACAATGATAATATTTACACCAGATATACTTACCTAGTGATGTAGTTACCAAGTGATGTAGTTACCTAGTGATGTAGTTACCTAGTGATGTAGTTACCTAGTGATGTAGTTACCTAGTGGTGTAGTTACCTAGTGATGTAGTTACCTAGTGATGTAGTTACCTAGTGATGTAGTTACCTAGTGATGTAGTTACCTAGTGATGTAGTTACCTAGTAGTGTGTAGTTACCTAGTGATGTAGTTACCTAGTGATGTAGTTACCTAGTGATGTAGTTACCTAGTGATGTAGTTACCTAGTGATGTAGTTACCTAGTGATGTAGTTACCTAGTGGTGTAGTTACCTAGTGATGTAGTTACCTAGTGATGTAGTTACCTAGTGATGTAGTTACCTAGTGATGTAGTTACCTAGTGATGTAGTTACCTAGTGATGTAGTTACCTAGTGGTGTAGTTACCTAGTGATGTAGTTACCTAGTGATGTAGTTACCTAGTGATGTAGTTACCTAGTGATGTAGTTACCTAGTGATGTAGTTACCTAGTGGTGTAATTACCTAGTGATGTAGTTACCTAGTGATGTAATTACCTAGTGATGTAGTTACCTAGTGATGTAGTTACCTAGTGATGTAGTTACCTAGTGATGTAGTTACCTAGTGATGTAGTTACCTAGTGATGTAGTTACCTAGTGATGTACCTAGTGATGTAGTTACCTAGTGATGTAGTTACCTAGTGATGTAGTTACCTAGTGATGTTACCTAGTGATGTAGTTACCTAGTGATGTAGTTACCTAGTGATGTAGTGGATGTAGTTACCTAGTGGATGTATTTACCAAGTGATGTAGTTACCTAGTGATGTAGTTACCTAGTGATGTAATTACCTAGTGATGTAGTTACCTAGTGATGTAGTTACCTAGTGATGTAGTTACCTAGTGATGTAGTTATACCAAGTGATGTAGTTACCTAGTGATGTAGTTACCTAGTGATGTAGTTACCTAGTGATGTAGTTACCTAGTGATGTAGTTACCGAGTGAGTAGTACCTAGGATTAGTTACCTAGTGATGTAGTTACCTAGTGATGTAGTTACCAAGTGATGTAGTTACGTCAAGTGATGTAGTTACCTAGTGATGTAGTTACCTAGTGATGTAGTTACCTAGTGATGTAGTTACCTAGTGATGTAGTTACCTAGTGGATGTGGTTACATAGTGATGTAGTTACCTAGTGATGTAGCTTACCTAGTGATGTAGTTACCTAGTGATGTAGTTACCTAGTGATGTAGTTACCTAGTGATGTAGTTACCTAGTGATGTAGTTACCTAGTGATGTAGTTACCTAGTGATGTAGTTACCTAGTGATGTAGTTACCTAGTGATGTAGTTACCTAGTGATGTAGTTACCTAGTTTTTGTAGTGGATGTAGTTACCTAGTGATGTAGTTACCTAGTGATGTAGTTACCTAGTGATGTAGTTACCTAGTGATGTAGTTACCTAGTGATGTAGTTAGTGATGTAGTTACCTAGTGATGTAGTTACCTAGTGATGTAGTTACCTAGTGATGTAGTTACCAAGTGATGTAGTTACCAAGTGTTACCTAGTGATGTAGTTACCTAGTGATGTAGTTACCTAGTAGTGATGTAGTTACCTAGTGATGTAGTTACCTAGTGATGTGGTTACCTAGTGATGTGGTACCTAGTGATGTAGTTACCTAGTGATGTAGTTACCTAGTGATGTAGTTACCTATGTAGTTACCAATGTAGTTACCTAGTGATGTAGTTACCTAGTGATGTAGTTACCTAGTGATGTAGTTACCTAGTGGTGTAGTTACCTAGTGAGTGATGTAGTTACCTAGTGATGTAGTTACCTAGTGATGTAGTTACCTAGTGATGTGATGTTACCTAGTGATGTAGTTACCTAGTGATGTAGTTACCTAGGTGTGTAGTTACCTAGTGATGTAGTTACCTAGTGATGTAGTTACTAGTGATGTAGTTACCTAGTGATGTAATTACTAGTGAGGTAGTTACCTAGTGATGTAGTTACCTAGTGATGTAGTTACCTAGTGATGTAGTTACCAAGTGATGTAGTTACCTAGTGATGTAGTTACCTAGTGATGTAGTTACCTAGTGATGTAGTTACCTAGTGATGTAGTTACCTAGTGATGTAGTTACCTAGTGAAGTGGTTACCTAGTGATGTAGTTACCTAGTGATGTAGTTACCTAGTGATGTAGTTACCTAGTGGTGTAGTTACCTAGTGAGTTACCTGTAGTTACCTAGTGATGTAGTTACCTAGTGATGTAGTTACCTAGTGTTACCTGTAGTTACCTAGTGTTACCTAGTGTAGTTACCTAGTGATGTAGTTACCTAGTGATGTAGTTACCTAGTGATGTAGTTACCAAGTGATGTAGTTACCTAGTGATGTAGTTACCTAGTGATGTAGTTACCTAGTGATGTAGTTACCTAGTGATGTGGTTACCTAGTGATGTGGTTACCTAGTGATGTAGTTACCTAGTGATGTAGTTACCTAGTGATGTAGTTACCTAGTGATGTAGTTACCTAGTGATGTAGTTACCTAGTGATGTAGTTACCTAGTGATGTAGTTACCTAGTAATGTAGTTACCTAGTGATGTAGTTACCTAGTGATGTAGTTACCTAGTGATGTAGTTACCTAGTGTACCTAGTGATGTAGTTACCTATGTAGTGATGTAGTTACCTAGTGATGTAGTTACCTAGTGATGTAGTTACCTAGTGATGTAGTTACCTAGTGATGTAGTTACCTAGTGATGTAGTTACCTAGTGATGTAGTTACCTAGTGATGTAGTTACCTAGTGATGTAGTTACCTAGTGATGTAGTTACCTAGTGATGTAGTTACCTAGTGATGTAGTTACTAGTGATGTAGTAGTTACCTAGTGATGTAGTTACCTAGTGATGTAGTTACCTAGTGATGTAGTTACCTAGTGATGTAGTTACCTAGTGATGTAGTTACCTAGTGATGTAGTTACCTAGTGATGTAGTTACCTAGTGATGTAGTTACCTAGTGATGTAGTTACCTAGTGATGTAGTTACCTAGTGATGTAGTTACCTAGTGATGTAGTTACCTAGTGATGTAGTTACCTAGTGATGTAGTTACCTAGTGTGTGTAGTGGTGTAGTTACCTAGTGATGTAGTTACCTAGTGATGTAGTTACCTAGTGATGTAGTTACCTAGTGATGTAGTTACCTAGTGATGTAGTTACCTAGTGATGTAGTTACCTAGTGATGTAGTTACCTAGTAGTTATGTAGTTACCTAGTGATGTAGTTACCTAGTGATGTAGTTACCTAGTGATGTAGTTACCTAGTGATGTAGTTACCTAGTGATGTAGTTACCTAGTGATGTAGTTACCTAGTGATGTAGTACCTAGTGAGTAGTTACCTAGTGATGTAGTTACTAGTGATGTAGTTACCTAGTGATGTAGTTACCTAGTGATGTAGTTACCTAGTGATGTAATTACCAAGTGATGTAGTTACCTAGTGATGTAGTTACCTAGTGATGTAGTTACCTAGTGATGTAGTTACCTAGTGATGTAGTTACCTAGTGATGTAGTTACCTAGTGATGTAGTTACCTAGTGATGTAGTTACCTAGTGATGTAGTTACCTAGTGATGTAGTTACCTAGTGATGTAGTTACCTAGTGATGTAGTTACCTAGTGATGTAGTTACCTAGTGGTGTAGTTACCTAGTGATGTAGTTACCAAGTGATGTAGTTACCTAGTGAGGTAATACCTAGTGATGTAGTACTAGTGATGTAGTAGGATGTAGTTACCTAGTGATGTAGTTACCTAGTGATGTAGTTACCTAGTGATGTAGTTACCTAGTGATGTAGTACTAGTGATGTAGTTACTAGTGATGTAGTTACTAGTGATGTAGTTACCTAGTGATGTAGTTACCTAGTGATGTAGTTACCTAGTGATGTAGTTACCTAGTGATGTAGTTACCTAGTGATGTAGTAGTACCTAGTGATGTAGTTACCTAGTGATGTGGTACTAGTGATGTGGTTACTAGTGATGTAGTTACCTAGTGATGTAGTTACCTAGTGATGTAGTTACCTAGTGATGTAGTTACCTAGTGATGTAGTTACCTAGTGATGTAGTTACTAGTGATGTAGTTACCTAGTGAGTGATGTAGTTACCTAGTGATGTAGTTACCTAGTGATGTAGTTACCTAGTGATGTAGTTACCTAGTGATGTAGTTACCTAGTGATGTAGTTACCTAGTGATGTAGTTACCTAGTGATGTAGTTACCTAGTGATGTAGTTA